AGTAAATTGGGATAGCGACGGACAGAGAAGACTGAGTAGAATGAAACGACAATTGCTGCGGAAATAACTGATCTACTAAATTTGTAACGTAATAATATTCATGGTCAATAATCAACAATCTGTTAATAATCAATAATCTGACATTTTCTAATTTATCAAACACATCTTTCTTTTTATCCAAAAAGAAAAGAATATTATAAATTTATAACACAAAGATACAAGAGAAAATACACTATGTTTGCGACAAAAATAGCAATTAAAAAAAATGTTGCTTCATTACCTTGTGAACACATGTACGTATGTACCAATGCCTGAAACGCATATAACATATTCAGACGTACACGGAGATAAGAAAATAAAATGAATTATAAACTGTATCTCATGAATAGAAAACGAGCGCTTTAACGGAGAGACGTTGATCCGTTCCACAGAGAGATAGTCACAAGGCAAATAATTGCACGATTTATTGGAGAGGAATGAAAGGGAAGATACCTTGTTGCGAAACGAAAATAAATATCTACGATCGACGAGACATTTTTGCACGAAAAACTCATCGAACCTCGAATGAAAAATTGACAAATGCGGGAAATAGTAAAGTTAAGCGTAATTTTTTGTCAAAAAGCGACGTGTCGCACTGTATCCTTCGGGATTATTCAACATCCTACCAATGATTTATCTGCATCGCCGTTTGCAAATTTTCGACCGCTATTCCAATTGGAATAAACTCAAATTAACAAATCCAAGTCAAGACTGTGTATTACGGTAGATTCGCAACATTGTTGCCAGTGATAAATATAAACTGAACAAGCACGAGCCGCTATTTCAAGGTACAACCTACTGTGAATGAATTTAAACTAACCAGAAACTTAATCACATTATTTCGATGTTTCAGAGGTTGTAATTTCATTTATCACAAGGTAATTATGCGTGTAATATACTGTGACAATGATTATTTCGAAGATTTAATCCAAACCCTTTGACCTTTCCAAAACGCGCAACTGCATCGCGAGACGATATTAAATCAGTGAGCATCTTCGAAAGCAGCAATACGTCACGTAAGATATTAATTAAGATAGCAAAGATCGCAAACGAATTTACATGACGTTAATTTTACTTACGATAAAATTCTATTTTTTAACACTACACTAGCACAACGTTCGCGTAATAGATCCAATCGTCATGATTAGACTAGACGTGTCACACTACTGCCCACACATTATCTTTCTTTTCGTCAGTAAAGATTTTCAATAAATGTATAAAGAGACTGTATTAAAAAAGTATTGTTCCATTTTTCAATTGACATTCAATTCGTACAACAATTGATATCCGTTACAATAAACGTTCTAAATATATGAAATTTTCTTCCTTTTCCAACAAATACAATATAACTGGTTCAATTTTCAAAACCTACGTCGCTCCCTCGGAAAGAACTGCCATTCTCAGAGTCTTTTCCGCACAATTTTCTAGTAATCAAAATCAAATCTCCATTTTCTCCTCGTTAAGCAATCACAGATCATTTTGACAAACGTTTCTGCGTGCAACAAAAATTGTAACCTGTTCTACGTCTTCTGGATTCGACGCGTATCGACATAAACTTTCGCAGTAAATTCTCCGGAAATTCTCCGCAAATATTCGGCGGCGTTTCGATTCGTTTCGACACGGTAGCCGCGCACGAACATTCGAGTGACCGCAGCTAATGCCCGTCAATCAGAAACGGCACGTAGTAGCCGCGATAAATAAAAGTGTTCTCCCCGCCGGTGTATATTTACCGGTGACTATTTTAAAGCGCCACGCGCGCAGATATACGCCACCGACGAGGAAGTCGCTGATGCGTTCGCTGAATGAAGAATGCGACTAATACCGGAGCCGCGATTGCGACACGGACCGTCGATATTCCGTAATAATTCACTGGTCGGTGATCTCTGCCCAGTTAAATCACAGACACGACAGAGATTATCTATTTATAAGCGATAGCGTAACGTTGGAAGATTTTCACATTATTTTCAGCTTTATGAAATGACAGTAATGATGATGATCGTTGGAGATGCGCGTAAAACGATTGTATAATCAAAATGTGCGAAAGAGTAAGAGTAAGATATAAAAAGATAATGAAAGATGTTGGGAGCAACTTCCTTGCAATTTAGTTGCATCCACACACTGATTTCTTTAAGTATGAGTCTTTGGCAAAAAATCTCACGAACGAATTTATCCATCATCGGCTACGATGTGATTGTAGAATCCTAGGTGTACGAAAATTCTTTTAAAAGCAGGAAAATGGTAATGGGAAAAGAAGGGCAAACAAGTGGCAACGTTCGAATCTTCTTATCTCTCTCATTGTCGAACAGTGAATGATTTTATTATCATTCTACAGATACCCACGATATACGTATAAATTCAATGATGCAGACGATTCTACCTGATTCTACCCACCTGTCTGAACTGATTTGTTTTCTTCGCAAACAATGAGTTTTCTCACAGACTATATCTATCGTCCGCACATTAATGTACTCATAATCCAGTGATACAGCAGTCGAATCAACCAATGTCTATCCCTCCCCCCGTATTCGTGAAACTGGCCGAATTGACCTCGTTGCATCCGTTACTCATTTCACCAGGTTAGGAAACGAATCGCTCGAAACGACCGTGTTCTCGAAAACAAGCAGCGCGAAGACCATTACGATGCGACGGGAGGCGCGCATCGTCTGGCTGAGCCTCGGTGGCGAAAACCTTTAATTAAAATCTTTCGATCCGAGGGGACGGGCCTCGGCGTCTGAAACGAGGCGAAACGACGCGAGAATGGCCGTGGTGGTAACGCGCGAGTAACGTCTCATTAGGTACGGATTGACCTAATTACGAAAGGAAACGTCTGGCGCACTCGAGTAGTCGCACCGCGTCTGCAGTTGGTGCGTTGCCTGCCTTTCCGTGTAAAATTGGAAATCGTTCTCTATTTATAGCGCTTTTCCGATAGGGTCACCGAAGCCGGACAAATATGGAACAATGTACGGAGCAACAGGGAGCAGCGTGAAACGCTCCCTGTTCCACCTCTGCATCCATCTTTGCACCCCTCTCGTCGCCCCCGCCCCCTCCCCCTCCGCCACCGCGCGTTATTATTTTTACGTTGCCGCTCCACCGGCAACCTTGACTCCGAATATCGATCTGAGAAGGAGGCAAGCACGACGAGACCACGAAATTCCAACAATGTGCCGCCGAAAACAGCGTAAACGGTAAATCCGCCGGACGTCAGAGACGTACGGCCGCCACTACTCACCGAGTCTCTTTATTCGCCCATTGGGTTTCGGCGCTTTTCACGGGGCAGCCCAGTGGTCCAAGTGGAAAGGCGAGTTTCGTTGTTGCGCGCCGTCGAACCGCAGAACGAATTAATCACTTCCCGCTTATTCGAATGCAGCCGGCCCGAGTATCAATTATCCGGGGAGGAAAACCGATTTGACTGTTCCTGCAGTCGAGGTAAAGTGAAGAGAATCGTTTCACTGTCAGTTTCTTCGAATTTCTATCGTCGTCACTCGCGTAGTTGTCACTTGTACCTCGAAACGTTGAAATTTTTCAACCGCGTTGTGAAATAAGGCACAATTGTGCGTGCGCGTTTGTCTAACGGTCGGTTTCAACTGACAAGATGGAGTCGTTTCGATATATCGAAGAAAAATGTCGATCGATATGTCGGCGGCCATCTTTATAGCCAACGAAAGCATGACAGACGTTTAAATTGCTCCGATACACGGCGCCAGTACGACGTTGGAAAGCGTTAAGTCAACTTTCCAAGATCACACGGTCTAACCTACATCTATCATTATGGCAACGTATTACGCTACGTTCTTACTTTCTACGTGTAATTCGCGTCGAACGATATTACGATCGATCACTGTCCAACGCCGCGATCAACCATTACGTTAATTGACGCCGATAACGGGTTGGCCATCTCGACGAATCCTCGCGACGAATTGCGACGGAAAGTGCTGTTCGCGTACGTGGACGCGCGAACGTCGATAGTGCGCATCGATACTAAACACGGATGGCGAAAGAAAAGTTGCCAAGTTGCGCGAGAAGAGGCGAAAGTCCCACAAATCGTGTAATTAATCGTGCACACGTTGCAAACTCGAATCTCGCGAGGTGTCGCGTTTGCGCGCGTACAGAGCGTAAATCACGCGGACACGAGCGGTGCCGCGTTCATTTGGCGCGTAAAAACGCTCGGTCGGCGGTATCGCATTACCTTGTCAACGAAATCGTCCGGTGTCCCGCCAACCAGCCGGAACAACAAGTTCCTCACATTTTCAGCCCTCGGCGCGCTCTCGTTCTCCCGCGATGGGTCACAGAGCACAATCTCCGACGTGCGAGCGTGGTTGCACACGGCGACGATCACAGCACTGACTAGAAAAAACCAATACAAACAGCAGGGCAGCAGGCCTTATCTATTCCCCTTCGGCTTCCGACTTCGGCTTCCGCACTTTTCTCCCCTCCTCTGCCTCTTTTTTTTCTATTTCTTTCCTCTCGTCTCACACTATGATCGCGTACGAACGCGCCCCGTTATGGCGCCGCTGTCGGCGATCAGCGACGCAACGTTCACCGCGACGCGGCACGCGCCTACCAATGCCCATTTCTTCCTCTCGCCGAAAACACCACTCCGTCGATCATCGCACGGTAAACGCAGCAACACCGGCGGAGTTCGATCGGTATAGTCGCGCTCGTGATCGACCACACGCGAGACCGATTTAAAGGGATCGTCGGTTTAAAGGGATCCCACGTACCGCACGACCATCGCCACGACGACAACAACGACGACGACCACCACCACCACTACCGGCGTCTTTTCCAACGGCGGCTGCTCCAAAAATTTCACAAACGCGCGACGGCGAGGACTAGCAGAACGGCGCGGCAACGATGACTAGGACGACGCGACTACGACGACGACGGTGGAGGCCGGCTCGCGAGGACCTCTTCCGCCGCACGATTCATGACCACCGACGGAGAGCACGTCGCTCTCGTGGCGACGACTGCGCCACTGCGCGGTATCTCGTCGAAACGATCCGACGGGCACGCGAGAGGGGTGAGGACGGGAGGCTGAAGACAGAGAAAAGAAGGGGGATGCCAGGGAGGGAAAGAGACAAGTAGATCGGTGCGCGTGCACGGTAATAGTAGGTTCTACGTATAGAAAGAGAAATATATAGACCGTGTGTGTTGTGCGCTTGCGTGTGTGTATGCTGCGTGTGTGTATGTGTGTGTGTGTGTGTGTGTGTGTAGTTTGATTTGCGTACTCCGGAAAGGAAAAGCGAGAGAGATAAGGTTGGACTCAACGGGAAAGCGCGAGCGCGTACGACGAAGACGTGGCCGAAACTGACGGTCGTTCCAGTTGCCTTCGTTTCGTCGTCGTGACAAACATGTCGTGTAGACCACCGACGGATGGATGGACACGCGACACAGCGGGACGGATTTTCGTGGACGCGAGGGTCGCGTTTTAGTTGTTTGTCGCGTTGTACAGTGGCGCTCACGACGTTGGGACGCCCACCACCTGTAGTGCTCACCCTCTTTTCCTCGCGGCGAACCATCCTCCCTCGCCCGCCACACGCGCGCGCATTCGCATTACGTCGTCCTTTTAGCCTGATACCCCTTTCGCGCTTTACATTTCTAATCGAGTGGAGTGGGGAGTGCTGGAAGGGGGTGAATTTTAAATTCGTGTTTAGTTGTCGCTGTCATCGCCAATCTTCGCCATCATCGCTGCATCACGTGACATAACCTGCACTCTTTTTGTAAGATGTCTTTCTTTTCTATCAAACTACGAAACTAAACCGATATACACTGATAATTTTCGTAACGATAACGAAATTCACAGGGTGATGGATACAGCGAAGTACGAGGTCAGCCAAGTTCATAAACATAAAGGCAAACAGAAACGGACGTTCCTGGAATTGTTTTGAAGCCAACCTCGACATTCCTGGAATTATTTTGGAGCCAAATGTAAGTCCTTGTTATATGTTCTAATCTTATAAATAACATCTTATTTACACGAATGGTATCCTACGTTTCTCGGTCGACGTATATGTACGGATACTGTCGTAGAATGAATAGAACCAGAGAATGCCATTTTTTAAAATCCTTACTTTATTCTGTAAAACACAGTAAAATTTCTAGTGAAACTTCTGAACCCTTTTTAATCTCTGAATCTCGCTGAATCCTCTTATTCTGTGGAGGACAATTTTGATCTTTATAATCTAAATGCGATTTTGCATTAATGTAACTTCCTTGTCTTCATCAGTATTGTAATTAAACTTTTTAACTCTTCTTGCACGTATTTCCCGCACGGTCACTGATCATTTCACTTTTCACTTTTATCAATTTTGTGTACACCGGCACAAGCATTGCATGATTATTTTAATACCATCGTATACACAATTACTTTACTTTCACCTAAGCTACGATCAACGTATACGTATCTAAAGATAAAAAGATAAACCTACCTAACAGGATAACGACAAACGAACAAAGACTTCTCGTAAAAGTAAATAATCCTCAGAATTTATCGGTTTTTCATCGTAAATATCAGATAAAATTTTGCAAGTGCAACAAGTACGTCAAAGAAACTGGTCATTATTTCCGAGATGTGTAGCACCGGAACAAAAAGGCTTGAACGAACTTGTTACCACACCAGGAATGTTATCGTATGCTGTCAGCATAAGGTGCAACATTTTAACGTAGTTTCTTACCCGTGGCTCGCTCCGTTATCCCGACTCGTTTACGAAAAAATGTAGCGTCTGGTAAGCTTCTCGTTTCTTAACGGAGAGATAAAGGAACGGATATACCGCAGCACCGACCCCCCGTAAACACGGATTAAGGGAAATGTTCCGGTGTAACCTTACTAATGGCCGTGGAAAAACAAATCTATTTGACGTAGAGCTTCTGTTAATTGTCAACGCTGCCGCGTTGGAATTTTCGTTATTCCCTGTATAAATAATTCCAACCGGGAATTATCTACGCGTTTTGTTTTCCCGTCAATATTAGCTGTTGAACATTGCTCCAATCTGTTCTGCCCGTTACTGCCTCACCTGTCTTCGATGTTTCTTTACGTTTCTTACATCTCACGTAATTTGCACCGCGCAGGAAGAAACAGAGATCGACTCAGCCTCGATAGTTCCCTATTTTTCGCCGCTGTTCCTTCTTCTCACTGATCTTGACCTTACTTACTCCCGAATAGTCATTGCTTGGAAAACAAACGATTCGGATCTAACAAAGTTTTCATACGTAGTCATGCACTTTTTATTCAACACCGTTGTTTCAACGCTATTGTTCAGACTGATCAACCGCAGATCAGGTCATTTCCTGTTCTTAAAATAACAAACGAGTCGTAAATATCAAGTTAGGCAGGTATCGCGTATTATAGTTGAGCCTGTCCAAATAAATTAAAAGCTATACTTGTGGCATGCAATTAGAAAGATATCTGAATGCACTGTGAACGCAAAAAGTCAGAATCAATTGGACGTAATTAGGCATGAGGCATGTCTCTATCGACTAGATACGCCGTTTCAATTTCCACGAAGTTGTTAACTGAACATCTCCGAGCAAGTAACACATTTCATCCAGTACAGGTGGCTGGAAGAGAAAGCAACCACAAAGTAAATAATAAATGTACTATCGAGAAATGATGGTAAAAGAAGTCGAGGAAGAAACTTTCGATCTCCTTCTAGTAAACTATCTAGGTTCGCTGCGGCTTTTTCTCTACTTATTTTCCTTTACCACTACGAAGATACCAATGCACGCACGTACCAAGCTTAGATGTGCCAACGAACAAATTTACGCCGTGATTTCGAAGGAAAAAGAGGGAAGTAGGAAGTTCAATTTTTGATGGTCGATGAAATTGACAAGTCACGTTGATGGGAAAGGCACGAGTTAACGATGCTCAAGTACGTTAACCAACGAAATTACCATCGACGAACGTCGGCGGCACAACGACCGTAGAAAAGCGGCGCAGTAAATCGTGGCGACGGTGTCGCGAGGACGTCTTTTTCGTCGATTTTTGTCGAATCGCGATTTTTGTCGATGCCGGCAACTCGCCGGACTTTTTGCAAAATAGTGAGCAATAGAGAGGAGGGGGGGGGGGGGTTTAGAATTTAGAGTGAGCGCCAAGAGATTTACGAAGTGAGGAAAGAGCACGACGCCATTTGTCTCGCTCACCTAATTAACTGCTGCCGCGGAACCAAATACAGCCGGTCGATTTAATAACAATTTTGCTGGCCGTGTTAACGAGACCCCCATCGGACCATTAATCCCAGACTCTCCACTTCGTGTGCGTATCGCGACTATTCGCATCGAGCTTCTTTGCTTCGTGTTTTGTAAGCGATACATGCGTCGATATTTTTAGAGAGAACTCGCGCGAGAAAGCTCGACGAATCAGCTCAGACGTGAAACAGCGAGACGGTTGTTCGGCGTGCACGGCGATAATTTGTATCCGCGCGTTCGAATTCTTAATAGATCCGCAAATAGTTGCCGCTTTATTCGAATAAATGGCATTAAATGACTTACAATTCTGCTTGGGATTAGTTCGATTAGAAATCGGTCCGAATTTGCAAAACGTGTACAGAACTTTCACACTTTACGCAAAAAAGTTAAGTGTCTTTCCTTGTTCGATTGCGTGATAATAATGAAGATTGATTGTCTAACGAAACGAACTTTATTTAGTACGATTTATTTTTATGGTGTACCTACTTACCGATGTATCAGTGATAAAATCATTGATAAATACTTCGAGTGGTTATTCTTTGTAATTCATCGTTTTACATTGCACGCTAGTAAATCTGTTTCCGTAAGAAAAAAAAAAATTAAATGTAGATCTTTACTCCGTGTTTCACAACGTCTTGATCATCGCGATAAAGGCACATCTTTTTAATTAATTCTCGAATGTTAGATTTAGCCGGCTGGGGAAGATGCTTAAAGAATTTTTAACAGCGTCGAATAAACTCCACGTTCCTCGCTATTTACTCGGTCGCGTTTTAGTCTTTCCAAGTACGGTAATAAATCTCCTCAAGGCAGTATACTCCAGCTATATATACTTTCTTTCCTTTGCCTGAGATTCTCCAAGGGCTCGGATTTAATTAAAATATTCTATGCGCTTCTTATACCGACATGAAGTAGGCGAGCATCGTATTCTTCCAAATATAATATTCATTTTACGAAATGCCGCCAAATGAAGAAAAA